CTTCTACAGAATCTTGTAGCTTCTTTGTTTGTGTTTGTGTTTGTGTTGTGCTTGTGTCTATAGCGTATTTGGAACCGATAGTTGGAAAATAGAGCCCCGTGGAATCGTTCAAAATTGTTTTGATTCAGAATGGCGATTCTGCGTCAACAATTTGCATAGCACATGCAATGTAAACAGAAATCTGTCGTGAGAAACTACTGGTAAAAGAGCCACAATTCGTACACGAACCAACAGAAATAAACAGATGTCATTACATAAAAAATGACGTTCCATATGTCGCTAAGAAATTAGAATTTGCTGACGAGAAACAATTAATATATCTCTACACACAGATTACCACTTGTCACTCAGATCCATTTAAAAGGCAATTAACAAAATTATTTCATAATTAAATTTCTGACGTGACAAATCATACTGCATACAGAACATTTCACGCCGTACGCATTTCATCACAAGCATGTAAAGACAAATTCTCACAATAGAAAGCCCTACCTTGCTAAATTCGCGATTAACACAACTTGGCACATAGACAACAATGTGGCATGTGTTTCCGTAATGGCTTACATCATAATTACCTACCCGCGCCATGATAGTTATTTTTATACACGAATTTCTGCTCGTTTCGCTGAACTACAAAGTCTGAACTACCGACCGGAAAACACACACGACTATCTGGACTCATCTTGTTATTAACGCTTGCAACACTGAAGGCATCAGCTGACATAGGAACGACGGAACACCTTAAGATGCATAATCGTGAAAATGAAAAACTTCTAGGCTCACTATATAAGACCGACTCCCCACATCACGCTGCGTGGCGAACATACATTGTCGTTCAATAATTATTGTCGTTCAATATGCGCGCCATATATCGCTCTCAACCAAAGATCGTAGAGTGAACGGCACTATAGGATCTTTGCTCTCAACCCAGAGTCACCTTAGCAGCCAGCCCCATAATGCACCAAGCGACGATGACAATAGAACATGTACTCAACTTCATGTTGTGGAACCATCGTTCGCGCGCGAATCACGTGCGCTCAGATACATAGCTGCCGTCGTATATTAATTAGCACAAACCTAAAAAAAAATGTCCGATCATCAAAATCGATAATTATCATCGCCTTTCCTTTACCACTTTGATATTAGACCTCATTTTGTGGTGGTTATTACACAAACCTATGGACTATAACGATATTGAGGACACGGCTGTTGAACAGATTCGGCAACTAATGTCTGACTATCACATCGTATAGTTGTGTATGTGCCCCGTGAACGGAATACCGGAACTCGGAATTGAGGAAGACAAGTTGGAGGTAATGTTTCTGCGCAGAGGTCGCGACGATCGCACAGAAATGGAAAAGAAATAGTCAAGATACGGTTCGATCGTCTCTCGGGTCAACTGCGATTAACTACGATTTCCCACTTGAACCGAGTACATCGTCAAGCATAGTATAGCTTATAGCCCATCATAAACTTTCATTTACCCCTTGCGATTAGTGCTTAATTTAAAACCTTCGCTGCCCCACGAGGCTTATCGGAGATGCTGCATGAGAGTGTGCGCGGATTGGAGTTAGTTGCTATTATATGCAAATTAAAACCGCATTTCAATGAAGCTCCTTGCCGATTGTTTAGAATTAAAAGCTCTTTGTCTTTATTGCGAATAAGAACATTTCACATTTCTTCACATACGACTACGAATGGGTATGTAAAGATATTTCTGCATATGATTACACTTTGCTTAGTTTATGAACGATTTTTTTTATCTGATGGGGACTAAATATATTGCGAGGTTTGCATTTAATAACCCACTTCAAACTTTGAATAAAAGTCATTTATAAAATCAATTGATGTTTTGTGCGGGGAAATGTTCAAAGACTTATTCAACAAATTCCATATCCTTGGTATATTTTTACGTATTGCATGAATTTCCTCATTAATGTTAGGGCCTGGAAATGAGAATAAATGCAGGCGCCACGTGTACAGCTCTGGGCGTGCACGTATCGCGCCTAGTCAGGTTTAGAAGCTTTGCTTGCCAGAACTTTTATGCACTCACTCGCTCACTCTCTCTCTCTCTCTCTCACTCACTCACTCACTCACTCGCTCGCTCGCTCGCTCTGTTGGCAAGAAATTATTAACTGCAACAAAAGAAGCCCGATTCTAAGGGCGATTATGATGGCTCCTTAATACCTATTAATACCTATCACCGAAAGTTCACGGCCGCTGTATAACTAAATGCAAGACAGGAAGAAATAAAGTCTAAAGTTATACACTGGTGTTTTGCACTGTCAACCACGTCATGTTCCCACGCGTAAAAAGCACCCGACCATTCACTCTACCCCACGACCCAACGAAACGAGAGAATTCCGAGTCTACTGATGAAAAATCTCCACAGATGGCGCTGCGATGCAGAAAGATCACTCGCCAAAGATTGCCCAATCCAAATATCGCCAAAGATCGTACAGCCAAAGGTCTGACTAGGGGACGCATTCGAAATGAAAACAATTTGCAGTCACTTCCTCCCGAATGAATGAATGAATTACCGTAAATGCAGTCGACAACGGCAGCAAGTGCTGTCTCTTCCTTTCCATCAGATGACAGTATCTAGGAGAGCAGCGAGGCCAAATGGCTGGCATCCTGAACATACTCTGTTGTGACAAGTAGCCGGGGAATTCTTCGCGTACAGTCGGGTGACTTTCGGCCATAATAGCTTGGTTATGTCCGACGCCACGTATCGGAGTAGATGCGCATCTGTTTCCCCAACTCAGTGTCTGGCCGCAACTATTGTCTACTGCTATATCAAGATACACATACGCACGTACGCACGCACGCACGCGCGCACGCGCACACATACGGATTTCGCTTGTTGTAAAAAGGCTGTCAATCTTAAATTACAAATAAAAAGAATTACATTTACATAATATACAAGACTGCACTTGGAGGGCGTGCATCTCACGTGGAAACTCACTCGCTTGCTTCCACTCTAGCATATATTCATAAACCTCTACAACGGGTATATAGTCCCTCGTCATATACGCGTTACGCTATGAGGAAATGTCACATGCCGATAGCGTAAAAAAACGGGCTACCTCACTCTTGAAACGCGTTGCACGCTGTAACGTAACTGTAGACTTATTACGCGGAGTAGCGCAGGCGTCGTGGCAATGCCGAGTCCGCGTAAGTGTTCACAAAAGGCGTAGAAGCAAAGCGAGGGTGTGTGTGCGTGCGTGCGTGCGTGTGTGTGTATGTGTGTGTGTGTGTGCGTGCGTGCGTGTGTGTGTGCGTGTGTGTGTGTGTGCGCGCGTGCGTGTGTGTG